AGCTGTATACCATAATGCCACTCACATATGGTCAAATAGCTCATTCTTATTATTTTTGTATATATATATATATATATATATATATATATATATATATATACAAAATATATATATTCTGCCGTCCTGGGGATGGGGACTTCAACATACCACTGTGGGAAGATGTGGCTCAAGCCATCACACAAGCCAAGGGCCATGGGACCCATAAGTCAATAAACTAGAGCGCCATCGGGGTAAGAAGGGACAGATCCCAAGACCCAGAGCTGCCTGGAGACCAATATACAAATATATATATATATATTTGTGTGTATGCATATTTGCATGTGGGCATGCATGTGTGTATGTAGGCCAGAGGTCCAGGTTAAATATCTTCTTCTCCTACTCCCCACATTTTTTGAAACAGGGCCTCTCACTGAACTTGGAGCTTGCCAATTCAGCCAGATTGGCTGGCCAGCAAGCGCCAGAGACCCTCCTATCTCTGCCCCCACCCCAGCTCTTTTTTTAAACATAGGTACTGGGGATTGAACTCAGGTCCTCGGGCTTTTGTACAGCAAGGACTTTACAAGACAGAGCCATCCCCTCACCCCTAAGTGGTCAGTCCTCAGTTGAGTTTGTCCTGTGATGTGAGGGCCACCATCAGGGCTTGGTGGCCTCCCTTCAGAATCCTTGGAACCTTAACTTGGTGACATATCTTTTCAGCTGTGCCTTCCGAAGGAAAATGATGAATCAAGTACTCATTTTGGTGACCAGAGGACAGCAGGATGCTGGTATGTGACATGTGATTCGTCTCTCCCTCAATTCAGGTGGGCTGAGGGAAATCCACTCCGTGTTTAATCTGTTCTCTCTCTGGGTATATGTTGGCCTTGGCTCCGTTCCGAGCCCTCTGGGAACCCAAAGCCCTGAATGATGGCATTGTTGTACATGAATGTCTCTGAGGAGGATCTGTCTGAAAGAAAAGAAGAGATAAAACTGAAATGGTAAATGTTTCCAACAAAAGCTATTAGGGCAGAATTTCCTGACTCAGCACTTCTGGACATTTTTTGAGGTTTTTCACAGACAACATGAAGTTACTCTTTCTGTGCATGTGGGTTTCTTTATTTAGTTTCTTCCCCTCAAAGCTTATGGGTTTTCATTGATGAGATGGTTGAGCAATTCTGAGGCCCAGACACTGCCAGGAAAAGCTAGTAAGTTGATGGTGACTACTTACTCTCAGCACCAGGGGAGGCGTAAGCATGGCTCCTGCCTCTCAGTGGCTCCTGCCTCTCAGTGGCAGTCAGAGCCACACTCAGCTCATATATCTCAGAGATGGTCTCCAGGCAGCTCTGGGTCTTGGGATCTGTCCCTTCTTACTCCGATGGCGCTCTAGTTTATTGACTTATGTGTCCCATGGCCCTTGGGTTGTGTGATGGCTTGAGCCACATCTTCCCACAGTGGTATGTTGAAGTCCCCATCCCCAGGACGGCAGAATGTGACCAGCAGTGTTCATACGAAACAAAGAAGGTCCAGATTATCGTGAGCCATTGTTCCTGTTCAGCCTCTCCACTCCTAGAAGTCCATAATCTAATTGGAGGCAAAAGGCCTTCACAGGAAGCAGTTCACAAGTCAGGGCATGATGTAAGTTCAGGACTGCAGGATCTGTGCACTGGTGCACTCAAGCAGTCCCTTTGACACTTTGGCAGCCCCTGAGACCCTACCAGGGATTCTTTGAAAAGAAGCCATGGCCTGGGCTTTCTTCCTAGACCAGTTTCAGTAGCACTTTCGAAACCCCAAGTTAGCAGATGAGTTTCTCTGTGCCTAAGTTTTCCTCTTTGCAAGATTAGATTTGCTTGTATGACTGTCCATGCTCGGAGAGTGAATGAGCAGTGGGAGACAAATGCCGTGGTATTGAGAGGGCAGGTTGCATCCTCATTGCCCAGGGAAGATGTGGCTGGTTTATGGCAGAATCCCACAGGCTGACCAATACCTGAAGCCCACTGACCAGGACCTGAGACCCACCACCCAAGGATAAGCAAGGATTGCATACGGCCTCTGATATAAGGAGGCTTCTTTGACCAGAGGACTTCATCTGCCAAAGCAGGCTGGGGGAGGAACTTGTGTTTAGGCCACTTGAGACCTGCAGGATTTTTCCAGGTGTTAAAGAAGCAGGAGATACGGGGTCTCAGTTCTGGTCTCACACAGTTCTCAGCTCTCCCTTCCTCCTGGGGCTTTTCTTTTCTCTCTTTCTTTTTCAGGCAATGGCTGTAAGGTCAAAGACAAAGACCGGGCTTCGGAGTCTGGCTCTGCCATGGACAAGATTCGCAACTGTAGGTAAGATTTCAAGTTTGCTTGGACTCGACCTTTTCATTTTCATAAACCAGAAAATAAAACTTGGTTTTAGATGCTTCTGGCCCCAGGCCTAAATGGAAGCTGGCATAGCATTTCTATCATAGCAGAGAGCGATCAATAGTCAATGATGTTTGTTTAGGTGGTTTTACCCTGGTATGGACATTTGGGGCCAATGGTGGCTCTTGGTAGCTGGTCTTGGAATTCATTTCAGGTTAGGTACTGTCTGCTTTGTTACAGTGTCAGGGGTAGCACTGAGCTCTGAGAAGCTGGACCTGAAGAAGAGTCTAGCTGAGGAATCTTGGCTTCTCCAGAGTCTATGAGTTCAGGCTAGCCCAGCCTGGACACTCATGCTTTGGCAAGGTGTAGCAGCAATGGCTGCTTGGGTCCACGTTACTCCTTATCTTCCACCACTGGCCTGAGCCAGGGCAATCGATTGCTCCACACTCTCATTTGGTAACTGGAAACTGCCGAGGATCTATGACAATCATTTTGTCCTTTCTGAGGCGAGAATGAACAGAACGACAACCATGTGACAAGACAAGGGACAGACAAGTCTCCAAAATTTGGCAGAAGGGGCCTGGCTTTGGAAAACAAATGTAACTAGAAGGAGACTTTCTTCTTTTCTTTCATCTCTGGGCTCAGATTTCCAAGATCTTTAATTTTCAGAACTTAAACAAGAAAGTGTATTAATCTTCAAGGGCTCTCATTAATCACCATGTCTGGCTCTGTGGTATGTGTGGGAGAGAGATGACTCACTTCTCCAGTTGATTTCTTGGTAATGGAGGGTCAAGGCCTGCTCTTACATTTCCCCTCTGTCGAGCTAATGGAGAAAGCTTCCACTTAGGAAGCACCATCCTGGAGCAATTTTTCAATGGAAAATTGCAGACAGGAATCGCCACTGACATGAAACTGTTTCTCTTAGGGAAACCAGGTGAGTGGCATGGCAGAATCATTAGGAATGCAGATCCTGCCTTGGAGAGTTGTGGGATTAAATGTCAGGGTTGAATAAAGCGTATACGTTAGTGTGTGGCATATTGAATAGATCTGCAGTACATAACTAGCTTTTCCTCCATCCCTTCTTGGTGCCAGGCATTGTGCTGAGGACCTTCTCTATGTCATTGTTTGATGACATATATAAATATTTTACATGACATGTGGCACCATGTCCCCTGGTTTACAGATGGGAAATCTGACATGCGTGCTAAGGGACTTGCTGTATGAATTACTTTTCTCATTGCCGTATGTAATAAAATAGCGGACAAAAGCAACTTAAGGCAGGCAGGCTTTATTTTGGCCTGCAGTTTGAGAGGACACAGTCTTCACAATGGTGAGAGCAGAAGTCAGCTGGTCATATTGCCTCTGAAGTGTGGAAAGAGAGAGAGAGATGCATGCTGGGATTCCACTCACTTTCTACTTTTTCTTCAGTCTGGGATCCCAGCCCATGGGAAGGTGCTGCTCACATTCAGGGGTGGAGATCTTTCTTCCTCAGTTACATGTCTATGGAAGCCCCTCACAGGCACACCCAGAGATGCATCTTCTAGGTGACTCCAAATCTAATCAAGCTGACAACAAAGATCAGCCGTCATACTTGTCCAAGGCCTCACAGCTCGTAAGAGATGGAACCAGGCTTTGAACCCGTATCGCCTGATGCTGAAGTTGAAGCGTATTTCCACTCACCACGAAGCAGGCAACACAAGCTCACCTCTGTGCGCTACAAGCTGGGGCACTCTCCACCCACAATGACTACTGGGGAGCTGGGGAGGAAATTAGTACATGCTGTTCCACTGCTTGTCCTGAAAACTCCTCAGGAGGCTTGGGATGCTACCTCATCAGCAGGCAAGAGAACGGGGTTGTTTACCCAGTGCACCAGGCAGTCCTCAAGAGGTTAAGCATTTTAAAAAGACATCCCTTTTGGTCCTGGCTAGTTTCCTTGCATCATTGAATCAATACCAGATAAACTGCCTTGCTAGCCAGCAGGTGGCCTGCCCCCCAACACTGCCAGTTCTGAGTGCTGGTAGAGCCGAGAGCTGCAGAGGGTGCTACTCGGGTTCTATAGAAGGGCTGGTCCAGAGGTGCTGGGGCTTGGAGGAGACTTTTCCAGAGCCTAGGGTGAGAGCTGGGGGGTCTCAAGTGTGAAAGCACTTGGAGCAGTTAAAAAGCAAGTTCACTGTCATGGGGTCTTATGGGAAGATTTGCAGAGATGTAAGCCTAGAAATTTCTATAAAATGTCTACATCTCCAAATGACAGAACCTGGGGAAGAAAAAAAAAAACCCACTGTGTTGGAATGGTCCCGTTTGGTGACTCCCAAGCCAGGCTTTGGTCACCCTTCTAGTACTCCTGGCTTCCCGCAGTTGCATTCTGGGGGAAGGCTGGAACAGACAGCATGTTCAGGAACACCTTAATGATGTCAAGATACTTTTCATTGCTCGTTTATCACTTAGCAGCTCAGATTTGTAGTGTGTTCCCCATGTTCCTTCTCCCTTCACACGGACAATGCATTCTTTCAACAGTGTGCGGCTCCACGGCAAGAGCTGTGCTGAAAGCAGAAACAGTGGTGTGTGCAGCCTGCTCCTTTCAGGGAGGAGGGGCTGGGGGGGGGGCAGGTGGGGACCAGATGCCTGGCCACAGCCGGGAGAGGGGGATGAGCACATGGAACAGCCACTTCTGGTTCCACTTACTCATTTCTCTGTGCTGAAAGGTGTCATATAAATGCTAAATAGAACAGAGAGAGAGATGGGGCCTAGCTATTTGCATTTCGGCTAATGTGAGCAGATGTAGCTAGCACAGCCGCTTAGCCGAGGATGCTCACCTGCCCTGCTGGGCCTAATGTCCATCTTCAGTTCATTTCAACGAGGCCCTCATCAGTTCTGCTCCAGCGCTGCAGCAGACATGGTGCTTGGTACAAAAGGGGTACGTGCCTTCTGTCCTCAGTGGGTTGACAAAACTTGTTGACGAGACAAGTTTAACCACAGGAACCATCTGAGAACAATACAACCCAGCTTGTGATTAAGTGGTAAGTCCTGGGGAACAGATGAAGCGCCAGGGGAGGTTGTAGAGGAAAGAGGAAGCCATGATGGGCAGCAAGGCTTTGTGGGAGAAAGACTGGACCACTGTCCCACTGACCAGGTAGTTTCTTCCCTTTGGATGCTCACTCAGGTCCTCTTCATCCTTTAGGACTTTGTTTAAATGCTCTTGGTTGACAGGGTCTCACTGGTTATCCTAAGTGGCAGCCTCTATCCACTTAACACCATGTGTAATAGGTATTAGCATGTTTCTCTCTTTCGTGTTGCTTTGTAACCGCCCATAGGCAGCAAGCAGTCTGTACATCTGTTTTATTCACTGTTGAATTCACAGACGAGCACGATGCCTGGAGCCCAAGAGGTGCTCTGCAAAGACTTGCTGAACGAATGAGTGACATTTGAGGACAGCCTCATTTAGCTAATGTTTCTGTTGGCCAACTGAATCCAAGATCTTGTTTTATATTCTAGGAAGAAAATCTACAGAGTCCACAGTTCCGGCATGGAGATGAGTGTCTTTCAATATGAAGAGTTCGAATTAAAACCAAACCACAACGAAGCAGGAGAAACTAGCATCAATGTGAGCATGCCAGTCAAGGCTGCAACTTAAGAAATAGGAAAAAGAAAAAAGAAACAAAAGTTGATGAATAATTGAGCTGGGACTGTGCATAAACTTAACCCATTACTATGCAGAATATAATGCAGACATTTTAGTCTTGGATCTTGTCCAAGGTGATTCATTATTGGACAAAGTGGGAGAACCTTGTTCAGACACAGCTTCACCTAAAATGTGATCTCTGGTCATGGACACAGGATTACAGGAAGGCTCCAATGTTACTTGAAGTGAGAGGTGGGGGCTCTTGTTTCATCCTCTGTTCAACTTCTTGCCTTGAATGAATGAGTAGTCTGAATGGTTCTCTTTTTGAAAAATAACTGTTTTGTTTGGCTGAGACCCACAGGGGCACTCACTCTTTCCTCTTACCACAGGAAAGAGACACATTTGAAAAAGCAAGCATCCTTGAGTATGCAGTTGATTTTCTTGTTAATTGAATTCAATTGGATCAATATCTAGTTTTAGTTGTGGGAAGTAAGGCTAGCAGTCAGAAATATTCTCAAATTTCCTTGAATAATAAAAAGATCTCTCTTAATTCACTCACAGTTTAACTCAGGGAAAGCTAGGGGAAGAAGAGTACGGGCAGTGTTGGGGCAGGACATTCTTCCTGTGGACTACTTGCAGTTAGTGGATTGATAAACTTAGGTTGTGAATCTCCATTGTGAGGACCAGAGTGTCAGCATGTTTTAGAAATTCCTTCCCCACCAAGGAAAGTCCCACTGTAGACAAAAAGAAATCCAATATTGAAAGCAATCTTTTGATTGTACCGTGACATATTCTTGAAGCTGCCATGCAGGAATCTTCCATAGAAGTTTTAAAATTCTACAGATAGGAAACGTACAAGATTTACAGGATAGGAAAAATGAAATTGGTTGTTTGAATGGAGGAGCATTAACTTGAGCTGGTCTATGAGTTGCTTTGTAAATTGCCTAAAATTATGCCTTTGCACATTTGATGGTTGCACTGAGTGGTGGTCAAAAGCTGGCTTCCCTGAGATAACCAGGTCCTGGACCATTCCCTTCCTCTTCACTCCCCTGTCTTCTGAGCTGAGACAGAGTCTCACAGACAGACAGACAGCGGAGAGAAAAACTGCTACATCTAACAAAAGCTTGCTGAGAGTCATTTGGTATCTGTTCTTCTTTACTTCAAGGTGTTGTGTGCAAGACCTTGGACTAACTTTACGCTGCTTATATACAGAACGTGTCCTTATGCTAAAGGTGACCTTTGCTGACGGTTAGACTCTAAACTGTAAACAATGTGCAAACTGTGGGACCATGTGGAAGGTTGGCTCTGGATTGTCTCTCAAAGGCCTACGTGTTGAAGGTTTAGCCACCCGTCTGTGGAAATACTGGTGGAGGGCCAACCTTAAGAGGTGGGTGGGCTCTTGGTAAAGGAACTGAGTTGTTGGGAAGCTGTTCTCGGCGGGGACATGAAGGCCCTGGATTCTTAACACTCTCTCGTTGCTTTCTGTCAGCAAAAGGGCAAACAGCTTTTGTTCCCTCATGTGGTCCCACATGAGCTTCTGCTTTGCCACAGGCCCTGAAACAGTGGAGTCAGGAGGTCATGGAGTGAAATCTCTGAAACCACTAATTCTTTCTCCTAAGTTGCTTATCTCAGATGTCTCAGCTAAGCAGAGAAAGCCAGCCAACACGAACTCCGTGAAAGCACTCTACACACACTGGCTCATTAAATGTGACCAACAGGCGTTTACTGTGGTATGACTTCAAACATCGCTTCATCTCCTCAGCTCTGCATCTGACCTTCTCCCCCAACTCATCTTCATGTCCGTGTATTATCAAAACCTGGGGTGTTTGGTCATCAATCATCTTAGGTGATGATTATGAATAATGTATAGTCATTGATGATATCAGAAAATGGATGCCAGTGGTGGGGGTGCCTGTGTAAATGCACGGTTCAGTATTTATTCCATCTTGCTCACTAGCTTTAGGCTCTTTTTTTTTTTTTTTTTTTTAATTTCGAAAGAATGCATTAGATCCAAACAGCTAGATCCCTTAACAGTGTAACTAGAGTCTCCAGCTTGGAAGCCAAAGAGACCATATGCTTTTTAGCCCGCTTTCCTGAAGAACTGTCAGACACTTATCAAGTTTTCGGCTCGTGTTTAGCACCAGGACAACATAAATGATAAGAGCAGATAGGAGGCGTCAGTCTCAGACATGCATTGTTCTCAGTGTGAAGAACTGAGCTGAAAGAAAAAACATGAAGAGGGCTTGGAAGATGGTTCAGTGATTAAGAGTGTGCGCCGCTCTTGGAGAAGACCCGAGATTGGTTCCCATGGCTCACAACTGTCTGTAATTCCAGTTCCAGGGGATCTGACGGCCTCTGGGGACATTTGCATGCACAAGCACATACCCACACATAGACATACATGCACACACGTAATTAAACATAAAAATAAGTCTTAAAAAAGAAAAAAAATGAGAGTGGCAAAGTAAGTCCGTGAAATAGCATTGAAGACGGAGAAATGTATCAGTACACGTATGACACTGGATGTTACACAAAAGGTGCTATTAAAAAGTCAGCGGCGAGTTGGTGACATGGCTCAGTCAATAGAGCGCTTGCCTTGTGCACATAGGGACTGAACTCAAATTCCAGAACCCAGGTAACAAAGGCTAGGCATGGTAGTGTGCGTTTCTAATCCCTGTGCTGGGGAGGCAGAGGTAAGCTGATCCCTGAGCCTCGGTGGCCAGCCAGCCTAGCTTACTTGGAAAGTTCCAGGTCAGTGAGAGACCCTGTCTCAGAAACACAAGGTGCCTGAGAAACGACATCCAAAGTTGTTCTTTGGTGTTCAAACACACATGAACGCATGTGTATATGCACTCCCCAAGTGTACACTTGCACACACACATGCATATATACACACATACATACAAGCACCAGAGTACAAAAGGCAAATTATTGAATGTATAGTGTTGGGACAATTTTCAACTGGAAAACTTTTCCTTATATAATACACAAAAATAAACACAAGAAGCAGAATTCAAAACAATGAGAACAAAAGGGAGATTTTTTTTTTCTTCAACACCATTTAGATTTTTCTTCTTCCTCAGGGATGAGAAAGCTTTCTTTGAAGTAGCAAAAAGTATATGCTATAGAAAAGACTTGGATATTTGATTATACTGAATAAATAGCCTCCCTATAACTGCATAAAGGAAAAGAAAATGCATATTAGAAAATAGAAGCTACTTAAAAATGAGAAAAGAGCAGAAAAAGGCAATTCAAACAAGAAATTCTAAATGGCAAATGAATGTATTTTTTTGGTTTGTTTTTTGTTTTTCGAGACAGGGTTTCCCTGTGTAGCTTTGCGCCTTTCCTGGATCTCGCTCTGTAGCCCAGGCTGGCCTCGAATTCACAAAGATCTGCCTGCCTCTGCCTCCCAAGTGCTGGGATTAAAGGCGTGCACCACCACCGCCCGGCTAATGTATTTTTAAACCATCTACTTGGAGTTTAACCAATCATCTTGGGCCACAGAGTGAACTTAAAGATACAAGCCACGTGCTGAATATGGTCAAGAAGACAGACACAATTTTTACGGCTTCTAGATGACTGGAGTTGCCGTGGCAACCTTAAAACATCTTTTGTATAGGGGAAAAGTAAGTTTGCATGCCTTGAAGTCTGTTCTTTGAACTAAATATTATATGCAAATGAACTTAATCTCGCTTTTCTTTTGTTATTGTAAAGATGCTTTTTTTTCTCTCTCTCTGTGTACTTTAAATGTGAAGCTAGTGAAGGTGAAGGATGCTGATGATGCTGGTCCCTCTCCTCTCTTTCGCCTACCCACTTCCTGCTGTCTTGATCATGTGAATTCCAGAGAAGAACCTCCAAGCTTTGCTGTATACCAGCACATGCACAGCTCTGGGCTGTCTCTAGGTCCCATGGTGCTTCCCATGTGCTGTTGGTGAGCAGCGGGAAGCCCTCTCCTAGAGTCCAATAAGGCCAGCACTGTACTTTCTGCCAGACAGCAAGAAGAGACAACATGGCTCTTGCTGTAACCGGAGAGAGAAGACATTGATGACAGATCTGTTTTCTTTGCCAGATCTTCCAATTATTATACGACCCACAGCTTTCTGTGGTCTGACGCTGGAAAGTGTAATGTGCACTCTATAGGGAAAGCATTATACCAGTTATAAATGAGTCCTGATCAATACTAAGCGGTAAGCACAAGCTCCCTCAAACTCTGGCCATATGGAGAGGTAGATTATCATTTTTTAATGTAGCAAGGAGGAGATTGAGAAACATAAGATGTTCCCCAGCTTGTAGTAAAGAGGATATAAAGGGACTCATCAGCCCTTTAGAGATGCATGTTGTATGTAAGGTCTCAAATGAGAAGTTATCTGGAACTTAATGTGATATCTCCAGCAGTCTCACCGGAAGTACAGATACGTTGTTAAAGAAGTAGGTTAAGAAGGAAGTAACAGGCCTGGAGAGATGGCTCAGTGGTTAAGACCACTTGCTGCTCTTCCAGAGGATCTAGTTCAGTTTCTAGCACCCACATGGCAGCTCACAACCATCCTTGAGTTCCAGGGAAACTGATACCCTCTTCTGACCTTTTTGGATACCGGGCATGCTTGCAGAACACATATATACATGGAGGCAAAACACTCATACACACAAAAGAAAAATAAATAATCTTTTTTTTTTAAAAAAAAGGATGAAAATATTATTCCCTTGGAAAAAATTTAGTGATTTGAATATTATACAATAGCTGTAATTACTGTTGTATTTAATGATACACACACACACACACACACACACACACACACATGCACACACAGAGAGCTATGCATAAATGCACCAAATCAACACTTTTTATTGTAAATCCTTTGATAAATATTATATTTTAATGGATGTCAATCCAGAGGCTGCCTGCTTATGTAGGAATAAGCTTTCATTTGAAAATTCTCTTCATGATGGTTTAGAACCCTTTGATCTCACATTGCTCACTGTCCTTTGTACTCTGGCATTTTAGCAGTAGATTTGAAACAAACAATTCCAAAGGACAAAACAGAAAGAGTTGGAACTGCCTCATTTTTTATTGCCCTATATGAACAGTTCATTTGAGTTTAAAAACTGAAAACAACTTTCAAATTGTTAATAACATTCTTGCTGAGTACATGCTGTTTCTGTTAAGTGTGGTGCAGAGTATGGGTTAATTATGTGGTATATTTATGGGGCATGACGTGTTTGTTAAGTGCAAGTTAATCCACACAGGAAGTATTTTACTGAATTTGAATAGTATCTTTAAAACTGAATATGCTCTTGCATTTCAATTATAGTTGTTTAAAAACTAAAGAGTAAATCTAGTAAATATAATATTACCATGGTTGCATAAATTAATAGTAGTCTGATTTAGAATTTTATAGGCATTTTGGGTTTTATTAGAAATTGCTAGGAGTTTATGGACAATTCTTTGCATGAAAGATTACATCGCAATGAAGAAGATCAAAACTCAAACTAAGGTGGTTATGACAATCTAGAAGAAACAGTTGTCCACTTTTACATTAAACTTCGTTAAGTCACAAATGTCTTCTTTTTCCCTTTGGCAAGATTAAACACATCTAATGGAATAAATGACATTTTCCGATGCCTTTTCTAGCTCCATGGTTTTTAAGAATCTGATTGCAGTGTTATCGAGGCAAATGGTTTCCTGAATGGAGGAGAGGCACTAAGGATGGCCTCCCTGGCTGTCGGAGGCGTAGCTATGTGCACGCCTATCTCTGTTCTGAATGCAGTTGTGCAAGAAGGCATGCGGCACCCAAAACAGGGGGCCTCCCGGGCCTGCGGAGAGCACATACCCTCTGCTCAGGGTGCTGCTTTTCCAGTCCTGTAATCTTCAACCTTAAGGAAAGCAGCAGTAGTAGTCATCAAAACAAATAGGTTCTCCAGGCATGGGGTGGATATTTCCATCCCGTTCCCTCGCAAATGGCCTAGACTCAGACTTCCTTCAGTCTCCTTCAGACATCCAGCAGTCTCCCTGTAAAATCCACCACCCTGCGAGCCACGCGGGAGAGAGCAGCCATGTTGCAATCCCTCCTCCTTGAAGTGTGCTGATTTCCCCAGTCGTCTTGTGCAGCATGAATACCCTCCTGACACAGACTTAGACTTTAATTCCAGCTGAGGAGGAAGGTCTAGGCAGTGAGGAGCCCGGCTGGACCACCGCTGGGTCCAGTCTGGGAGTTAATTACACTCTAACTCCTCTGCTGCCCAGAGCCCACAGCTCCCCTTCTGCTCACTCCTTTCCTTTAAAACTGTTTACTTATTTCCCTCCGAAGTTGCTCATGGATGGCTAGAAAGAGTCCCCAGGGCTGTAGCTGCTTACCACATCATAACTGGAGCCCTTCCATAAATGCTTTGCTTTCTTGGCAGCCTGTCTTTGGATCATAAAAGCCTAGATTTGCATATCGCTACGGCACTGTCCTCTATATCACGTTGGAGGAGGCCAGGCCAGGTCAGTGGTAAAACGCTCAGTGCAGCAGGTCACAGGCAGACAGGCAGCTAATCTATTTCCCTGGCATGTCATTAACATAGGTGAACACAAATCCACATCAAACTCGGGTTATTTTTTAAAGGCCGTATTTACAGCCCATTAGCAGTTAGGGCGAGTGAGAACAAGGCCGTTGGTGGTACCCATGCAATCCATCACGGTAATTAAATGTGTGTAAGAACAGTATCAGTTGGAGCGGGCGAAGACAACCTAACCTAGAAATAAATGCACCATGGCCAGGGGTGCGCCTCTCTGCCCTGTTTCTCTTTCCATCTCTGCCTTTAATATCAGCATTACCTCAGCATCCTACGCCTCTCTGAGGAGCCCTCTACCCCTCTACCTCTCTCATCTGTCTGTCTGTCTATCCGTTCATCCATCTAGCTCTCTTTCCAAGCAGACTGCTTTTTGTTTTCTCTCTCACTCTCTCCACAAAGTCTTAATTTGATAGTAAGCAAATTCTTCCAGAAATATTAAGGAATAAAACAAAGTCTTAACTTCATTACCCCTATTTCCAGCAAATCTTTCTCTCTTTCTTTTTAACAAAGTATTTTGTCAACTCTAGCTGGAATAATAATGCACTTGGCTGTGCAATTGAATTTTCCATCAGATTTCTGAGCAGCCATGACTCGGCTATCTTTTCTGCTCCTTTTTTTTTTTTTTTGCTTCAGTTCATGGGGGAAGATAAAAGTCCCGGGGCTGATGAGATGTGCCCCTGCCCTTCAGATTCCCAGAATCTAGCCTTCCCTGTAAGATGCTGTTCTTAGGTGTTTAGAAAGAACCCACCAGAAATAAATATTCAGCTCTGAGCAAATAATTTCCTCCTGTTACCAGAGCACACCATAGACTCCAGAGCAGAGGTGCCGTGGCGCCAGGATATTGGACTCATTTTGCACAGCCTGCTAAGACGCTGCTTGTGGAGGGCCCTGGCAGCTGTTGGAGGCACAGAGCAGCGGTGCATGCTCAGTTAGGACGGGGGAAGGAGGCCTACATGTAGTTGCAGCCTGGGGGTGCACTGAAGTAGGCAGGATGTAATTACCCCCCATGCAGTTCACTGCCTCCTACCGTCAAGAGGAAGTTTATAATTCTTTTTCACTTAAAAAAAAAAAAAAGAAGAAATTGTGGGTAGTTGTAATGCCACTCAATGCTGCCTTCCAGAAACAGGTCTGTGGGAGAAGGGAGGAGGCAGGCAATGTGAGTCACAGTGCTGTAGACCTGGCTCTAGGCAGATGGGACATAGCAAGAATTACAGCTCATCAAAAACCTATTTATTTTCCATAAGCATATGTTTTATGCCACAGTAGCCACACCTACCAGAGGAATAGCCCCTTTACTGTTCGTACAGCCTCGGGCTTTACATTGAAGAAGCGCTCATTCCTAATGAATGCCTGCAGGAAGAAACTTTATGATTCCCGAAATGGATTCTTTTGTGGCTATTGTTTTTAAGGTTTAATTTTTTGTTCTTATTCCTGTGTACACATGCATCTTCTATGTGTAAGTGCATGCCATATGTGTGTAGGTGCCTGTGGAAGCCAGTAGACAATGTCAGGTCCCCTGGAACTGGAGTTAGAGTTGTGAGCCACCCTATGGGTGCTGGGAACAGAACTCCTGTCCCCTCTAAAAGAGCAGCCAATTCTCTTAACTTCTGAGCCATCTCTCCAGCCCCTGAAATGAACTCTTGAGTCATGGAGACAATGTCTGTGTTTTCAATCATATGTCTTCCCCACGCGGTTCTGTTTAGACTACTTCTCTCGGCCTTTTTCCTTTTTAAAAGTCTTCAAACAGAGGACTTTTATTTTTTTTTCATACAGAAAAGCACAGTATAAAAAAAAATGAGCACCAAGTCCTTTGAACAGTGGTTCTCAATCGGTAGGGTTGCGACTCCTTTGGGGGTTTGCACATCAGATATTTACATTACAATTCATAACAGTAGCAAAATTACAGTTATGAATTTTGCAACAAAATAACTTTATGGTTAGGGGGTCACCACAGCGTGAGGAACTGTATTAAAGGGTCACAGCGTTAGGAAGGTTGAGAAGCACCGCCTTTGAAGAATTGGAACATGTTGAGCATCCGGAAATCTTCATCTTACCCAATAAGCCCTCCTCTCAGAGAAACCCACTCTGCTCAGATCTTGCAGTGGGCACAGCTTTCTTTGCAAGAGAATTTGAGCACCTGCATACCCCAACACTCCAGCTCGCTTTTCCCTCGAGGGAGCTTCATATAAAGAAGATCCTAATGTAGGAGTCATTTCCATCTTTGCCTCATTCAAGCTTTTTGTTTATGAGTTTCATTAACGTTTAGTGTGTCTCCAGCTTGCTTGTCTTCCTTCCCATTCATGTCCCAGGATATGAATGCACCACAATTTGTTCGCTCACCCCCACTGAGTGTTTATTTACCCTCTGATACGAACATTCGGGTATGTTTCTGAGTGCACAGATTTGTCTACAGCATTTACATTTTAAAAATTACTCTAGTGTGTTTGCTTTATGGGTACGCGCACGCACGTGCGCACACACACACATACACACACACACACACACACACACACACACACACACACACATGCACGTGCATGCATATCCCAGTTCACACGTGCAGGTCAGAGGAACTTGCAGAAGTCAGTTCTCTCCTTTCACCATCCAGGTCTCAGTGACCAAGGTGGTCAGGCTTGGCAGCCAGCGCCTTTATCCCCTGAGCTGTCTCCCTGGCCCCCTCTGTGATTTTGACCTAAAACTTAGAAGACTGAATCAGAAGGATGTGCATCCCCAACACGGGTAAGGTTCTGTGTTCTGTTGGATTTGCACACGTCTTTGCCCACCCAGAGCTATGACTAGCCCTGTTTTCCTCGTGCTTGGGCGTTTGTACACTTGCAGGCCCACAGTGGTTCTGCCTTTCCCAGAGCTGCTCATTCTTTGAGGTCCCAAAGGGCTTGCCTAGGAGTGGGCTTTTTGCTTTTCACATACAAAAGAAACCCCTCTAGGGTTCATGCCCTTAACCCCTCCTTATCAAACTCTCCCACACAAAGCCAATATTCCCTGTGCCTTAAATCATCCCTGAGTTAGTTTCCAGCCTCCCACCCCCATCCCAGTCTCTCACAAAGCTATCCACACAGACAGATCTCAGGCTGCCTCGCCGTCCCCAGGAACAACTGACTGTCTGTCCTGCCACTCTTTGTCATTATGATTTTTTCTCATGGACTCATGTGTGATAGGAAAATAAATACTACCCTTTTTCAATACTACCTGCATTGAGCCGTGCCTCCCTAAATGATATCTTAGGTATGTTTCCAGAACAACTAGTTAGTGTCAAATTCCTTGTCAAACCAACAGCATCAATTTCTACTGCCAGCACTAATGTGTCTCTGTCCTTCTAGACTAGTGGTTTTCAACCTTTTCAATGCTTCGACCCTTTAATATAGTTTCTCATGTTGTGGTGATCCCAACCATGAAATCATTTTTGTTGTTACTTCATTACTGTCATTTTGCTACTGCTATGAACAGTAATGTAAATATCTAATATGCAGGATATCTGATACGTGGCACAGTGAGGGGTCGCACCCCACAGGTTGAGAACCACTGTTTAAGTGGGTGGGATATTTCATCGTACTAATATCACACAATCATATTTTCCTGGTGAAGAGATCTGAACTAAGTGTATGGCAGCATCGTCCTTGTCGCGCAGACATGGCCGTCAGCCTTCCCCTGGCGGTGGGTCAGACAGGCTCCAGATGGCAAGTTCATCAGGCTTTGAAAGGAACCCAGATTCCAGTAAGTGCTGCCTGGCACTGATGCGCTTTCATTCGGGTATGATGTTTCACTTTTAAAACACCGAGATGCTTTCTAAATTGCCGACGCCTTAGTTGCCTGCTAAAGATCTCATCTGTCTTTCTTCCTTACCCACAGAAGTCTGACTTTGGGAGACCACCTACGGAGCCCCAGTGATGGCTCCTGCTTGGCCATAATCAGCCATGACGATTTGTTTTAGCTTTCCCACTCTGTCTCATCTCCAGAGCTGGGGCACGTTACTGATCACGGGACAGTTTTGGTAGCTAAGATCTGAGTGGAAGT